GTGTAGTCCTCGATGCGCGGCGCGCTTGCTCGTTTTAGTTGCACTTTCCGCAGTCAAGATTAGATCTACTTCGTCTCACTTCTGCCGCTTTTCCCTGCCGCTTTCAGGAATAAGATCGGAGAAAGTATCTAGTATGTAAGAACGGAAGTTTCTGATCGACAGTTAACGCGAATTTTTAAATGTACATGTATACATATATTTTATATAAAAATTCTCTCGACACTCGATCTACTTAATTTTTTTATATTAGTTTATTTTCTTATCTGGTTTTTGATCCTTACATTCGTATTAATAAAGCCCAGAAATTCTTGCTTGCTACAGTTTTTGTTTCATTTCACTCGATGCATATATTATTTTAATCGACTTCCTCATCGCTTTCGGCATTTGAAATGAAAATGTGTATACAATCGAGTCACGAGAGGAGAGAGTAGAGAGAGAAAGGAGCGCGATATGGGAGGCGCGAACCAAGCCGAGGAAACAAATTTAAAAATTTATTTTGAACGCCGAGGAAGTGTAACAGGTGCAGGTGGAACATACCTAACGGACCGCGCGTCACGTTCGAGTCGTACGGGACGGGGAACCGAGTGCAGAAAGTGCAGCGCAAAACGGACAAGCAGCACCGCGACACGTCGCGCGAAACGGAAAGGCGTGTTCGTGTGTGGGCGATGGAACGAGAATGAGCTTTTTATCTGGCCGCGCCAGATATGTCACGATGTCACGTTTTTGAAAGGGATAAATTGCTACAAAGGAGGGGGGAAAGGAGGGAAAGGACAGAGAGGATTCGCTGCCGTGACATTTGCGAGCTATCGATCGTTCACGATGAAAGCGTTTCGTTTCTCGCGGCACGTTCCGCGCGAAACACGATACGTCTCGTTCGCGAATCGGCCGCGGTTCGCGATCACCACTTTAGGCGGCGGCAGCGGCGTGCGATCACGAGAACAGACGGGGAAGGGAGGCGAGGGATGAGAGAGCGCGGATCAACTCACCGAGAAACATCTGCAGAGTAGAGCGAGTACCTGACCGTTGACAATACTGCACGGACACATCACAGTTACGCTGCGCATAGCTCTCCGCCGATCGGCTCAGCGCTTACCGCCTCAAGCGCTCGCGAAAACGTTATTTCATCGTCGCCGGACACGGCGGCATCGTCATCTCGTCACGTCCCTCCGTAAATCACGGGGCGCGCATGCAACGCGGCGACAACGACAGCGACGGCGCGGGCGCGGGCGCGGACGCCACGGTGTTCGCGCGTCACGTCGCGCCATCGCGCGGAATTACGCTACCGGAGATTTTCCAATGGATAATGCAGAATCCGTCTGTTTCTCGCATTTTCCGAGAGTGGATATGGAGTGTCCCGGAAATTATGCAACGAAATCTTCAATGTCGTAAGGAAGAGATATGGAAAGTTCTTTCTTTTTGGCACATTTTTTTATTTCCGTAATCTTCAATGGTATTAAATATGAAGGTATCTACATCTACGCCTATCTTATATGTATAAATGATTTTGGGAGAGGAGAAAGAAAGGTATGACGTGAAATATAGAAAGCGCGACTAAAGCGAACGCCTGTTCAAAGTTTTTGTTTTGAAAAGGTAGAGAAAATATAGTTTATTCATTTGAAAGTGAATTGTGATAGACAATAATTACGTTATGGATGGAAAATTTAAGAAAATTTAAGGCATTTCAGAATTTACATAAAAAAAAAAAAGAAATAGCAAACAAAATTAAGACAATTCAATTTACAGATTTATGACCAATATGCTTTCAGTTTCTTTTTCCTTATGATTGTTTTAAATATTTTTGTGCGTCATTTCAATTTGGGTAATTTTTTTACATAGAAAACACAGGAAGTTGGATGAAATCTTTTCTAATATTACGAAAAACGATTTTATACGAAATATCGAGTCGTTTTGACGCAAATAATCTCACGAGAGTTTATATACTTGTTTACGCTCATCAACTGTAATTTGCGATGGCATTCTCGAAATCCAACGAATGGATTTCGTCATATAAGAATATATAAAGCGTCATATAAGAATACAAATCCGCGGACAATAGCGTAAGAGTTTTTCACGACGTTCAAAAGTTCGTAATGCTTCGCGAAGAATTTCTATGTGGCGTGATACAGCGTGGGCGCCGACACTTCGTTTTATCTGACGCGAAACGAGGCGCGGCGCGGTCAGGCGAGCTGAGGCGGCGGAACGAACAAGACAAGGGACGAGAGAGAGGAGATGAAGGGAGGGCATGATGGGGGATGCTTCACGCTCCTTGTTACTCCAGATTGGACGTGGCTGATCTTTCGCGCGCCGCAGACTGCTCGCGCTGCATTATTCCCCGGACCGGAGCTACGCGTGATGTTATAAACCACCTTCGCGCGCGCGCGCACGCGCGCGCGCGGAGTCATGCGACGCGGCGCCAACATTCCCATCGTTTAACGACGTGTGCGCACGGCCGTAAAACGTCCAGATCGGCGGCGGCGGCGCTTAACGTATCTACGTGTGGGTTTGCCACGCTACGTAAGAACGTAGGCATCGCGCGGACCTAAATTAGACGTATACGTCTGTACATGCCACCTGAACGGAGAAAATGCTAC